ATCTTGGAAATGTAGATGCATCAATTTACGTATCTCTACATGATTTAAAATGATTATGCTTTTATAGATTTAAATGAACCACTTAGTAAGCTAACCTACACATCCAAAGTAAAACCAAAATCTTATTCCAAAGTGAATACACTAATGACAAAATAAGATTTGTAATTTTTATTTGACATCTTGTAATTTCAATAAAATCGTCCTTAAAAAAAATACAAGAATATAAGATTAAAATATACATGTATGAAATATCTTATAAGATAACTTGTCATATTTATAGTTGAGTCTTAGGCTTATTACTCACAAGTCACAACACATCCATATATACAGCAAAAAATTTAGAAACGCTAAGTAGGTGATGCTCGTTTAAAAGGGTTATATGCAAGAAATAGAAACATTATTTCATATTTTTGTATGTTATAGCACCCTACTTTCATTCATTTCTATTACAACACTATTCTTTTATTTTTTTTAAACTTATGAGGACATTATGCTATGTATTTGGATGAAGTTGCTATGGTTGGATTGATTTTAAGAGTACAATGGTGTAATTTGATGAAATCAAACTAAGATGCTAGAAAAAATCAACAAAAGAAAGTTGTTTTTTATATAACCCTTTTCTGTTAAATCTAACTTTGATTATAGCTTCTACTTGCACCTCAAAAGCTATCGATGCAATCTGTGAAGGCATACTCTATTTTATTTACTATTAACTAAAAGAGTATGCATGTCGAGAGTGTTGCAATCACTTATAAGTAAAGTGAATGATGCCATAGATCATGTAAATGAAGCATTTATGATGGACTGTATTATATTCTACAAGAGGTAATTATTTATTAATTGATTAAAGGTAGAGTATTTATGTAATTTCACATTGTTACTATTGTGACTTGAAAATCAGTCTTCTGTTTTCTTTGGTTATATATACTTGCAAGTAATTTATTTGTAAAATTAAAACAGCCAAATGTTGTTATTTGAGATGTTGATGGGGACTTACATATCTTTTTATACACCTTTTTTTATATTAATTACAAAATAATTAACTTATTTTGACAACTTATGAAAATTCAGATAAATCGTACTCGGTCTAAGGCTATAAAATGCGTGAGAGGATGAGGGCTATGCTTGGTTTTTGGGAAGCGGTAGCACATGACTTGGGTATAGCATCAAATTTAAATATGATATGAGATCGGATTAGTTCTTAAAAGGTACTCTTTTTAGCTTTTTATTTATCTTGTTTGCTATATATGGCAAGATGTGCAGAAACTTCAAAACTGATATACATCTTTTGATTTTCATAATAAACAGTATTGATGAGCCCACAACATTCTTCATGGAGATGCCAAATTTTACCCATGGGTCGTGATTATCATGGACTTTTTACCTACCTAGTGTGTATGTATGTGTGTGTATGTGTGTGTGTGTGTGTAACGTCTAGGATTTATAAGGTACTATTTTTATTTATATAAGGTTAATAGTTTTAAAAAAAGATTTAAGATTAGACCTTTGTGCCCTTAAGATTGAGCTGAGAAGTGTCGTACGTGGGGCGTCCTATGTCAAGTACGCTCAGCGTACTCAAGAGACTAGAACGCGGAAGCCATGTACGTACACCCAGCGTACCAAGAGTACGCGCAGCTTACGTATGCAAAATCTAAAACTCTAAATTTTAGGGTTTGATACCTATATAAAGGATCTTATGCCTTTGGTCCAGCTTCCCTTTCACCCTTAGACAACCATCACGAAAACCCTAACCCATAATTGTGTGTTCTTATGATTTGGAAGCCACTTGAGAACATTTTAGTGTTGTTTTGGTGTTTAGAAGAGAAAGAAGTTTGAAGATGGAGAAAGGATTCAAATGGAGGTTGTAGATCTAGGAGATTAGCACCATTGCTAACTCATTTGAGTCATCAAAGCTTCAAACTTGATCATTGCATGCTTAGATTTGATTTTCGGGTGTTTTATGTCACTTTTGGACTCCATTGTTGAGGTTGCTTGAATCTTGATGGTTTCAGAACATAAGAGCTTTCCTTTTGAGCTCTTAGAAGTATGTACAGTCATAAAAATTAGATCTTGATGGTTAAGCCACAACCATGCAAGTGTTTGATGGTTACAAAGTTGGTTAAAAGACCAAAATCATGTTTTGACCCCCAACCATGCATGCAAACACATAAAGTTTGTGACTTTATGGACTAGGATGTCGTAAGGGACCTAGATCTACATTCTTGATGTGAGGACTTAATGGATTAAGTCACAAAGGAAACCCCAATGAAGTTGGCTAATGCGATGTGTGTACACCCTGGTACGCTGCACATATTGGGTCAACTTCCCATTTTGTTCAAGGCTAGAATACGTTGGGCGTACGTACCAAGTACGTCACGCGTACGCACGTATAGTGGCGAACTTGGGCTTTTGGGTCTTAGAAGGTTGGGCCCTATGGCCCATTATGGAGTAGAGTTTTTGGTCCTAGAACTGAGATTTAGAGTATTGGTCCTTTTGGGTCATATTGGGCCGCTTGAAATTATTTATTTTGGGATAAGGATTTATTGGGCTTGTGAAAAAGCCCATTCCCATAGTGGGCCTTTAGTGAGCTGGGAAAGATAAGATGGAATTTGGCCTTGGGTATGGTCCAAAGTAGACCAAGGGGTAAAATAATCACCAATTCTCTTGGGTAACATAATATCTAATCGTTATGCTGGTCAAATCTGAAGGAGAACATTGTACCTAGTTGTTACTTGCCCGAATATTCTATCAAAATAACTAAACTATTATATATATATATATATATATATATATATATATATATATATATATATATGAAAAGAAATTAAAACTATAGATAACTAGCTCAAAAAACAAGTATACTATAAAACTAAACAAAACAGTTGCCAAATAAGAACGATGGAGAACATTGTACCTAGTTGTTACTTGCCCGAATATTCTATCAAAATAACTAAAATATTATATATATATATATATATATATATATATATATATATATATATATATATATATATATATATATATATAATATGAGAAGAAATTAAAACTATAGATAACTAGCTCAAAAAACAAGTATACTATAAAACCAAACAAAACAGTTGCCAAATAAGAACGATACTATTCATCCTTTCCTGGAAAGAATAGACAAGAGAGGATAACATCTCCTTACTAATTAATAAAATTGATGACAACATACAATTTTTTGTTCATCAAAGTGGTCTAGTGTTTGTTTAATAAATGTAAAGTAGAACCATATGTGGACCTTTTGCAATGTACGATTATGCACTCTGGTCATGTAATTTAGCTATTTGTGGGTTCATGGGAAGCAACACTTGTGTGGAGCGGGCCCGAAACTGGATCCATATGTAAATGGTGTATATCCGGCTGTTGAATACCCGCTAAAATAATAATAATATTAAATTAAATAAAAAAAAGTTTAGGATAAAATAGTCTTTTTTAGGTTGAATTAATAAAAGGTGACAACTGCCATGTTTGAGGACCGTATATGGTTAGAAGATAAAAAGTTGGATCAGGGAGTGCAATTTTTCATCAACCATAAGGACCATGTCGATAATTTACTCTAATATAAAACTCACACAATTTTTGTTATTCAGTTTAAAAAGGAGATAAAGTAATGACATATATATTATGTTATTCCACAATCATTAAAAACAAATACACTTTTCACCTCTATCATCATGATCCATTGGCTGCAAACATACTCTTTTTTTGGGTAAAGCTACAAGCTTGTTGGAGAAATCCGAGACAAATGAATAACTCATATATAATTTATCAAGAACCATTATTACAGCCTAAAAGTGAGGCTAAAACTTCTTTTATTATTAACTTGTTTCTTCTGTCATAACAAAGGCAGAGATTTTTTAAAGAAGAAATCTTTTTAATCTTTTTAGCTTTGAAGAAAAAATCAAACTTGGCAGACAGTGAGGCAGGTATGAAAGATTGAAACTTTTCACAAACAGAATCAACAACTTGGATGAGTCAATGGGAAAATTACCTAAATACCCTCAATCCTTAAAAAATTTTGAAGAAATTTGTAGATATGGAGATTTTGTTTACACATAATTTTGGATGTCATATGCAGGCATGGTAGGGTCAATTGAATATAATGGTCTCTCAAGACAATTGATGTTGTTAAGTGGATTTGCTTTATGTCTTTATGTTCCTCAGCACCTCATTTTAAAATTCCCATTTTTTAACCAAATTCCACATTAAAAAGGAAAAATCTCAACAAGAAATTAAGTGGTTTCAAGATTACATACCAGCACTTTTTTTATGCATTTCCACGGACGCCTGGACTATATAATGCAGGAAAAACAAAATTAAATAATTTTCAATAACTGGATATTATTCTCAGATGAATGAGTTTACATTATCGTTAAACTAAAACAGACAAGAAAAAGTAAATTCACATGAATAGTTAGTCTTCTTTTGGAATTGAAAAAACATGTTATAATTCGAAGTTCAACCTTTGAACACCTTCAGATTATGGTTATTTCAAATTTCTTGTAGTTGAAAGTTGAAAACCTTTCAGTACTTTGAACAAAAAGAGGGAACTTAATTAAAAGATAATCTTTCCTCATTCAGGAAGCTAACTTATAGGGCCTACTGTGATTATTAGCGCAAGTGAGAACATGACGATAGGCTTAAATTGAATATACTGATTTAGTGCTAAACCACCTAACTCCCCTTCAGTATTTTACTTCTATTCCAAGCAACCCTTTTTTTATATTCAAATCAAGAATTGTGGGAATGAACATATCAGCCATCGGTTTTCATATGAAAAAAGTAAAATAGTAAAATATGCAGGTGAAATTAGTCATAAAAGGGTTTCCTTATCTAAGATGTGGAACAAACTTGATAGAATTTGAATTTCTTTCATTCAAAATAAAAATGTCAAAGCATTGAAAATACTACCAACCAAAGACTCGTTTCATTCACTATAAATAAGTAACAACCTTTGCTTCCTTCCATACAAAACCAACTTCTCTCCTTCATCTTCACAAAATGGCATTTTCTTCACTTCATATTCTCTTCATAGTTTCGGCTTTGATCTTTTCTGTGATAAATCCTGCAGATTGTGCCACATCAGATGGCCCTTTCATCCATTCTAGAGCAGCATACTACCCAAATTCCGATGACAAGGGATCAGAAAGTGAGAACTCAAACATATATACACATGTACATGCATACGTATATATGATTATAACCTAATTTGTAATGATTCTTTGATGATGTTTTAATTTGCAGCTGGGAGATGTGGATATGGCTCATTTGGAGCAACGATTAATAATGGATATGTAGCAGCTGCATCTGATCTTTACAGAGATGGTGTAGGCTGTGGTGCTTGCTACCAGGTCATAAACACAACACAATATATATTTAAACAAGTGTATATATATATATATATATATTTTATATAACAAGTAGTTACTAATTAAATTACTTTTTCTTTTATAAATCATTAGGTGAGGTGCACCAATAGTAAGGATTGCTCAGATGAAGGAGTGAATGTTGTTATAACTGACCAAGGTTCAAGTGATCGAACAGACTTCATCATGAGCAAGAAAGCCTTCCGGAAGATGGCTCAATCTACAAATGCAGAAACATCTTTACTATCACAAGGAATTGTAGATATTGAATATAGAAGGTAACATGATAATCAAGTGATAAACTTATTTGTTTATTTTGTGTCAAAAAATATATTAAAAAAATCTTTCCATTTCCTCCACAGGGTTTCATGCAATTACCCGAAGAATAACATCACCATCAAGATCGATGAGAGCAGTGACTACCCGTATTACCTTGCTTTTGTCATATGGTACCAACAAGGCCAAAACGACATTACTGCTGTGCAACTATGTGAGGTAATACATACTTCACAATCATATATATAAAAATGTAATAAAATTTCTTATCTAGATATTTCTCACGTGTTAGTTTTTTCTATTTGTTATATGCAGACAAAAAATTTCGTTTGTAAACTATTGGATAGAAGCTATGGATCAGTTTTCACAACAAACTCTCCACCTAGTGGATCACTGTCTTTAAGAATGCTATTTAGTGGTGAAGATGGAGATGAAAAATGGGTTGTTCCGGTTAATATAATACCTGAGAATTGGAAGAAAGGAGACATATATGACACAGGGGTACAAGTGTAATAAGAAACTAATTCATCATATACCATCAAAATACCAGAAGTTTGTTATTGGATTGAATTGTAGGATAGTGTTTAAGAGATTATCATATGTATTGATATGTTGTGGTTATTTATTCTCTTCTTTTTTTGTTTAAAAGTTGTACCAATTTAATTCGTTATCCTGTACTCTGTAAGAATTGACCAAGCTACAGTAAAAGTGTATCCATTTATTTTAAGCATGTGACAGGTGTACATGTTTGGTTTGCCTTCAGATAAAACATAATGGAATAAAGAAATCATTGTCTGGAAATAAGTGGGGGTTTAGAAAAAGGTTATTTTAACGGATAAAAATCTTATCTTTTAATATGATTTAATTGTGGATACAAAATAACAAAAAGTTCTCTTTAAGGCAAAAGCATTGATGTGATGCTTCTCAAATGCAATATCCCTGGGCTAAGGAGCGATTGAGGTAGTCTTTTTTAATTTATTTATTAGAACGGCATCCCTGGGCAAACTTCATTTGGAGTGGAGTGCTTGAAACCCAAATGTCACCACCGGGCTGCAATGATTCTAGCGGAGTGGTCTTTAACGGAAGTGGTTTCAAGATGTTACGTTCTCCAAGCATCATTTGATGTTACAAATGACCTAAAAACCGGGCTTGCCAATTGAGTTGGTGGATTGGCGTGTTACAATAGATTGACCCAATGCGCTCATATAGTATATGGGTTGGTGGGTTGAAAACATTAACTCAACCCAACTCATATAACTCATTTAAATATATGAGTCTGAGGGTTTGCGGGTTGGTGGTTCATTCTTAGGTAACTTTTCACATATTAAATTTATACGAATTATACACGTTTATATATTAATTAATAATTACCATTTGACATTTATTAGAATGAAATGAATAACCAAATACAAATCTAACATAGTAACTTACTAAGCAAAAATTTGGAAAAAAAAAAAAGAAAAAAAAAAGTTTCCAACATAAAATCATAAATTAATAAACATTCAAATGAAATTGAAAACATTCATGCAAAGGGCAATTACGTCGTATATTTCATTGATTCATAAATAAATTTTAAATTTTTTTAAAGTATAATATATATAGTCAGGTTGGCATGTTGACCTGTGAATCCAAAGAGGTAACCTAATCCATGAAATTATGGAAATGTTTCCATATTGGATGGACAACATCGACATCATTACGAATAGATAAGATTCTATTAAGAAATTAGTTTTCATATGGAAAGTATGGAAATGTATCTATATTGGGAAGTAAATATTGAAAATCTATGACTAGATTAGAAACTTTTATGCAAAAGGATGTTCAAAGGAATGTACTTTGAGTGAGAGACATCATATCTAAGGAATTGTCTTGTAACAATCTACGTTAGAGGACTTTGTAATATCATTGGAAATAGTCTTTGAGACTTTGGTGCAGTGGCATTACAAAAGGATCGTTGCATAAAGTGTTAGAATATAGTATATTCTATAAGTAACAAGAATTTGATATTCTTACACTTAAGAAAATGGATTTGGAGTTGTAAAATGAGAATGATTGGAAATGTGTTCAATTTGTCTATTTCACAAAGTAAAAACCATAGGTAAACATTGTGTGCATGCTAGGAGCATGGGACAAGTGTAATAATTCAAGTATAAAGTTGATTACCCGAAACGACAAATAATGAGTAATCGATATGGTGATAAATAAAACGTGTTTTGTTTATACTCAAAGGTTTGAGGCCATATGGGATTAGTATTATTCTTGTGTTTCACCTTGCATGTTTTGACTTCCAGAATAATTGAATTTATTAAGAATAATCGAATTATTCAAACGGGCCACAATCGTTCATATGTTGGAAGTAGATATGAATGAAGACTAGCATGAATTGGTGTGTGGATTGTCTAGAAAAGTATTAGACATAAGCAAATGTTTGCTGCAACGTTCATGAGTGCTTATGAATATGATTTGAGCATTGGATTAAACCCACGCTCACTTGGATCACTATCTTGAGTGATTAGTGAGATGATAACATCTTATATTCTTGAAACCGAGATGTGTGAGTTGTATCTTGCTAATCGGTTGCACATTGATAATATGTAAACGCACTAGTAACTTGGTGTTATAAAACATATTGTTGTGTGTGATTTGGTTAGTGAGTGCAAGCAAGCATTGTATCAAAGTTTATTCGTTCCTTTTATTCAAAGAATAAAAGCGATATCTTTGGGCCCCTCGATGGTTTATTGATGACAAACGTAAATGAGCGGCCGGGCTAGGGCTAATTTGATTTGTTCAATTAGTCTGTCGTCATAAATCAGAAATCGAGATATAGTACAAAGAGAATGATTTGAAATCATATCTCATACGATATCCAGAATGGAGGAATATATGATCCCTTATCTAAGGACACGCGTATCTGATATGATCAGAGTTGACAGCGGCTTTGGAAAGCTACGATTGCAGATCAGGATCTGAAGTCATACGCAGAATAGTTGTTAGACTTATCCAAGTGGGAGACTGTTGGATTAGTGTCTAAGTCCATAATTATTTTGGTATGTACTTGACCCGATGGTGCATGGTCCTTTTGGGTTGCCTTCACCAAAGCAACTTGATAGGATGAATTATGGAGAGTAAGGATTAAATATGATTTATTAATGTATTATGAGAATAATATATTAAAGGAGAAATCATATTGTTTAATTAACATTAGTCATCAATTAATTGGTAATTAGTTTTGTGACTAAAAGAGATTAATTAAACTTAAGGGACTGGAATTGTAATTATAGGATAATTGCAATTTGGGCCATGGATTGCCTTGTATCAAGGGTTGGACGAATTCTATGGGGAAGCCCATAAGGAAATCATCCAAGGGCTTGATTAAAAGGAGTCTATGGGTTGCTTAGGGCTTAAGCATCCAAATTAGGGTTTCCTTGTTAGATAACCCTAATAGCCCAACTATATAAAGACCCTTTAAGGCTCAAAAACGTGGCTAAGCTTCTTGTAGGGTTTTACACACGTTTTTGGCAGCCTCCAACCTCTCTCTTCTTCATCCTCTTGCTTATGGTGTTTGTGAACCATTAGAGGAGTGACACTTGTGACTCTAAGCATTCCAAAGTCAATACAAGGAGATTTGGGATTGTTATTGCTACATAACAATCAAGGTATGATCTTAAACCTAATTACATGTTAATATGATTACATGTTAACATGTTAATATGATTACATGTCAAACCTAATTACATGTTAATATGTTAATATGATTAGTTTTGTGACTAAAAGAGATTAATTAAACTTAAGGGACTGGAATTGTAATTATAGGATAATTGCAATTTGGGCCATGGATTGCCTTGTATCAAGGGTTGGACGAATTCTATGGGGAAGCCCATAAGGAAATCGTCCAAGGGCTTGATTAAAAGGAGTCTATGGGTTGCTTAGGGCTTAAGCATCCAAATTAGGGTTTCCTTGTTAGATAACCCTAATAGCCCAACTATATAAAGACCCCTTAAGGCTCAAAAACGTGGCTAAGCTTCTTGTAAGGGTTTACACATTTTTTTTGGCAGCCTCCAACCTCTCTCCTCTTCATCCTCTTGCTTATCGTGTTTGTGAACCATTAGAGGAGTGACACTTGTGACTCTAAGCATTCCAAAGTCAATACAAGGAGATTTGGGATTGTTATTGCTACATAACAATCAAGGTATGATCTTAAACCTAATTACATGTTAATATGATTACTTGCATGCTAGAATTAGGATTTATAGTCTTGGATTCAAAGCATGTACAATAGAGAAACCTAGATCCAAGCATTAGGGTTTGTATGAGCACATAGGATGTCTTATGACCAAAAACCCATCAAAATTATGATCACAAGGATTTACGTGAGCTAGTACTTGCAATGAATCCGCCTGTTAGGTAGTCATGCATTACGATAGAAACTCTGGTGAATATAGCCATTTTCATCATTTCTTTGCATGTACCCGCAGTAGCATTCAAGTAATGCCCTTTGATTTCACCTGTTTCAGCTTGTGATTTAAAAATAGCTTCAGCACAAAATAAGAAACGGTCTCTCCAACGCATAAATGGTTGGGAGTTCACGTGTCATCATCTTTAGTAAAATCAAGACCACCACGAAAACATTCATAAACAACTCTACCGTAGTTTTTAGCGGATAACCCCAATTTAGGTTTAATAGTACATCGGCTCACACGATTTACATCCACAAGTAGACTATAGACATTTTAATAGATTCGTAAGCTATTGAGATCTCTTATTCTCTTTTAGGCGTAGAGTTACATACATACATTGAGATCTTTTATTCTCTTTAGACTACTCCCATTGGTGACCAATTGTTTTAGTTGGTTGGGCTAAAAATTAAAAGAAAATTAAAAAGACATAGAAAAAGCTTAAAACTCAACGCCAACGTTGGTGTACCAACCATTTGCCATTTTCTTTTTTTAATTTTTTGTATGTTTATAATTCTTTTTAGTTAAACATTATTTTTTAACTTATTTTGTTTTACATTTATTTAAAAAAAAATTAACAAAATATACTAAAATACGTAAAATAATTTTATCTAAAATAAAGAGCAATATTAATATATTTTAAGAATTTTTTTAATAATTTTTGTATATTGTCTATATAATCTTAAATATAATAATAAAATTAGGTTATAAATTTAATAAAACATAATATGTAGCTGGTATAATATAATAAAAATAATCATAATCAGTATAATAGTTTGGTTTTGGTTCGTTTGCTAATGGGTGTGAAAAATTAGGTTTAGTTGGTTGTATAGGTGAAAAAGAGAGAGAAATTAATTTTTTAATAGATATTTAAGTTGGTTTTGTTTATAAATGGGAATAATCTTATATTGACAAAAGTTTACCTAGAATTGCTCGGGCCAGTGCCACAAAGCCCAAAACATCACCATCGGGTGTGGCTTTGGTTCGAGCATTGGAGTTTTGCACACCAAAGCCTCATTGCTAAGTCTTTGCGGCAATAAGGTCAACCGAAACTCCACAACTTAAATTGATTACCAATATATACAAAATATTATTACGAATGTTAGATTAAAAGTACAACCTAATTAACTAGCCCCAAAGTGGTCACAATTGATGTTGTTGAGTGGCTTTTCTTTATGTCTTCATCTTTCTCAATAGCCCTAGTTTAAAAATCATGTTCCTTAGCAAAATTCAACAGTAAAAAGGAAAACTCAACAAATAGTGGCTTCAAGATAACATACCAGCACCTCTTCTTTATGCATTTTTTAAAACAGCATATCTTCAAATGAATGAGTTTACATTAGACACCTTGATTAAAAAGTAAATTTCAACATTAATATATAGTTATTCTTCCTTTGGAATTGAAAAAAAACTTTTTATATCTTTGAACACCCTTATAATATGGATATTCCATTTGTCATGTAGTTGAAACCTTTGGATACTTTGAACAAAAAGGAAAAAAAAAATATAATGTTTTATATTTCCTCATCCATGAAGCTAATTAGGGCCTACCGTGATTATTAGCACAAATGGGAATATGAGTAATAGGCTTAAGTTGAATATACATATGTAGTGCTAAAGCACCTAACTCCCCCCTCACTGTTTTACTTCCACTTTAAAAAATCTTTTTTTGTTTTCAAAAATAAGATTTCTTTAGCAGCCCTCTTTCTTTGTCTAATGCACAAAATATTATCAATCTCAGTCTTGTTTGCCAATTGCCAAGCTCGGGTCCAAGTTTTCAAAACGTGTAAACCAATAAAAAAAAAATGGTCCCTGATATTAAACATCAAATATATGACTAATACACCTATATATACTTCATCCATATATGAAAATGACAAGCACTTTTTTGTAATTGAAATTTCAGCCACCTGTTTCAATATGCAGCAGAATTAAAGTCATCAAAGTGTTTCCAAGTAGTTTCCATATCCAAGCAAGTTGATGAGAGCAACAAACGAAATTCAACACAAAGTGTCAAAGCATAAGAAAATACTACCAACCACAGACTCACTTCATTCACTATAAATACCACAAACAATAATTTGTTTGCTTCAATAAAAAACCAAACTTCTCTCCATTAACATCCATTTCCTTCTTCTGTGTAAGTTATAACAATCTAGATCCCCAAAATGACATTGTCTCTCAATATCCTCTTCATAGTTTCTGCATTTATCTTTTCTGTGATAAATCCTGCACAAAGTGCCACATCAGATGGCCCTTTCATCCAATCTCGAGCAGCATACTACCCAGATTCTGATGACAAAGGATCAGAAAGTGAGAGCTCAAACATATATATATATATATATATATATATATATATATATATATATATATATAAACATGCATGCGTATATATAATTATAACTTGTGCTTTTCGTCTCTAATTATATATATTTTTTAATGATTCTTTGATGATGTTTTAATTATTTGCAGCTGGGAGATGTGGATATGGCTCATTTGGAGCAACGATTAATAATGGATATGTAGCGACTGCATCTGATCTTTACAGAGATGGTGTAGGCTGTGGTGCTTGTTACCAGGTCATAAACACAACACAGTATATATGTAAACCAAGTTATATATATTTTGTTATTTTATATAACAAATTATTTAATTTTTTTTTTATAAATCATCAGGTGAGGTGTACCAATAGTAAGGATTGCTCAGATGAAGGAGTGAATGTTGTTATAACTGACCAAGGATCCAGTCATGGAACAGACTTCATTATGAGCAAGAAAGCCTTCCGGAAGATGGCTCAATCTACATATCAAGAAACATCTTTACTATCACAAGGAGTTGTAGATATTGAATATAGAAGGTAACATGATGCATGATTAAGTTTGATCAACTTATTTATTTATTTATTTATTTTGTGTCACAAAATATTAAAAAATAATAATGATACTAATTCCCTCCTCCTCCACAGGGTTTCATGCAATTACCCGAAGAATAACATCACCATCAAGATCGATGAGAGCAGTGACTACCCGTATTACCTTGCTTTTGTCATATGGTACCAACAAGGCCAAAACGACATTACTGCTGTGCAACTATGTGAGGTAATACATACTTCACAATCATATATATAAAAATGTAATAAAATTTCTTATCTAGATATTTCTCACGTGTTAGTTTTTTCTATTTGTTATATGCAGACAAAAAATTTCGTTTGTAAACTATTGGATAGAAGCTATGGATCAGTTTTCACAACAAACTCTCCACCTAGTGGATCACTGTCTTTAAGAATGCTATTTAGTGGTGAAGATGGAGATGAAAAATGGGTTGTTCCGGTTAATATAATACCTGAGAATTGGAAGAAGGGAGACATATATGACACAGGGGTACAAGTGGAATAAGAAACTAATTCATCATATATACCATCAAAAATATATACGAGAATAAGCACAGAGTAATTTGTCTACAGTATGTCGGTTTAAATTTTTATTGAATAGTGTTAAGATATTATTATATTGATGTTATGATTATTTATTTTCTTCTTTTATTTAGTTAAAAGTTGTACCAAAGTTCATTATCCTTTCATTTGTAAGAATTGACCAGCCTACAATAAAAGCGTATCATCCATTTATTAAGCATAAAGTTTTAACGGATAAAAGTCTTATCTTTTAATATAATTTTGTGGATATAAAAAGGTTTATTTAAGGCAAAAGCAATGATGTGATGCTTCAAAAAAATGCAATTTCCTTGAAGCAAGGAATGGGGTAATATTTTTTCCTATTTTTTAATGGAAGTACTTTCAAGTTTCAAGATGCTACTCAAGCACTATTTGACTTGTCAATCAACTATTGGAAAAACATGATTATCCAATTAACAAACAACAATACTTGAAATTCAATATTTACTTGTGTATATGAACTCTCTAAGGAATGATCATGTATTTTTGTATGACATTTTCATTTGAACACCCATATCACTCAGCATGGAGTACACCAATCTCCTCTTATGAACTAAATGACCTCCATTTGATTCAACATCAGAATTTCCAAATTGAACCAAGCTTGATCCAGCCAATTTATGTAACCCTTTCTTCATCATCATCTCTCTCACATTTTCAACATCATCCCATCTCTCTCCAGCAGCATATATATTTGATAACAACACATATGGCCCCACATCATTAGGTTCCAATTCAATAAGCCTCTTTGCCACCATTTCTCCAAGTTCTAGATTTGAGTGAGTCCTACAAGCTGATAGTAAGGCTCCCCATAAAGCAGGTCCTTTAGCCATGGACATGTTCTTGATCATATCTTCAGAATCTTTCATCAACCCAGCTCGTGAAAGGAGATCAACCATACAACCATAGTGCTCAACTTTTGGTTCAATCATGTAAACTCGTTGCATCAGGTCAAAATACCACCATCCTTCCAAAACCATTCCTGCATGTGAGCACGCACTAAGAACACACACAAAAGTAGCATCATTTGGCACAGATTCACTTTTCTCCAAGTCTTGGAACATTCGTAAAGCCTTTTCTCCGTATCCGTGCATTCCGTATCCACTTATCATTGAATTCCATGAAACTACTGTTCTCTCTGGCATTTCATCAAACACCTGTTGGGCTAGGTCCATTGATCCGCATTTGGCATACATTGTCAACAAAGCAGTTGAAAGTAACGCATCGACTATAATGTTCTTGTTGTTCTTGATATAAGAATGGACCTGTTCACCCCTATCGAGCCTTCCCAAGTGTCCACATGCAGTTAAGACACTCATCAGAGTTGCTTCATTTGCCTCCACATCTTGTTCCTCCAACATATCATCAAAAAGTTTCAAACAATCGTTGTAGTTTTTGGAGCGAGTGTAAAGAGCTAACAAGGTATTCCATGAAACTACATTCCTGCATGGCATCCAATCGAAAATTTTACGTGCAAACATGATATCTCCAGTTTTAGCATACCCATCAATCAGACAATTCCAAGAAACAATGTCTCTACATGGCATCCTATCAAACAACTCTTGTGCTGCCACCATGTCCCCAATCCAAACATAACCAGCAATCATGGAGTTCCAACTAAATACATCCCTTTCAGGCATTTCATCGAACAGATTGCGTGCATGGCCAACCATTCCATTCTTCACATACCCATCAATCATTGAATTCCAAGTCACCATATCCGACTCCCAACTCAAATCAAACACCATCTGTGCATCCCTTATTCTCCCGCAAACCGCGTACATATGAATCAATGCATTGCGCACATATAAATCCAACTCAAAACCTGCTTTTAAGACCCGGGTGTGAGCCTTTTCCCCTTCTCTAACCAACCCCAATTCAGCGCAAATCTTCACCAGCAAAGGAAATGTGTAATGGTTGGCAGGGATGAACTTCGCAATCATTTCTCGACGGTAAAATTCCAAAGCTCTAAGCGGTTCGTTCGCATTCACAAAGCCTCTCATAATAGTGTTACATAAGAAGGAATCAGGTTCATCTACCCCATGAAAAAGATTAACAGCATGAAACACAGTAGATGGAGAAGAACAGAGCTTCTTCATCACCCTACCCGATGCAAGGGAATGTTGAAAGAGGCCTGAAAGAATGAGCTGTGCGTGTACTTGGTTGAATTCTCTGAGTGTAACCGTTGAACATGACTCTAATTTGCTCAAGATGTGATGGTTTAGGCGTAAAATGGGTTCGCCTGCATCCTCGTTCTCGTGATCATGCCAAAGCTTGGGTAAGGACCTGAGGGAGAGATTTTTATGAATTTCTCGAAATTTTTCAATGGGTTGGGAGAGTTTCATGATCTTACCAGCAGCCATCGTGTGTTTTGAGTTATCCATCCTCAGCTTTTATAATACTGAAATTTAAAACCATTTAATAATAAGTTTTACCGTTACTTTTTATCCAATTGCATAACATATAACAATTATATATATTCTATCGTGTGAATCCATTAAACTCTAAAAGAGTTTAATGCATACCTTATATAACTTATATAACACGATAAAGTAAGATTTTTCATGTCGTTTAATTATTTGGAAGTATGAATATGAGTATTTCTGATTTGAAAGTATCAATATTGGAGTCATATAAGGTGATACACTAAGATTCTTCATGTCGTTAAGTATTTGAAAGTATGAATCATGGAGTCATATAATATGTTAAAATAAGATTCTTTATATCGTTTTTGTGAATATCTCTTATTTTCATCATAAGTTGATAAAAACATTTAAAAATCATCTTTCATATTTTATTTTGATGATCAGTATGTTGCATAAATTACCATTCACTACCTGTATAGTTAGTAGAAAATGCAATATGTTACACAAAATAAATTAGTGAAAAAGAAACATAAACATAAACAATGTCTTCATACTTTGCAATAATTACCAAGGAGAAACAAATAGAATTTTTGTTATTTATCATATTTATTTATATAATTATTTTTTTTAAATAACAGTTTTGTTACTTTTTAATATATTTAATTAATGAAAGTAAAGCATATTGTAATAAAATCATACATAATTGTCATTCAGTCCAAATAGTTTATATAATATGATTGCAAAGCAGAATCCTAGTGCAAGTGTTGATTCGGCCTTTGTATGGGGTAGCCCATGTAGGTGCACATATAAGGCAAGCCCGCCTTTACATAGCAGTAGGCATTGTCCTGTTAATGCCACTTTGTCGGTTTAACCTAGTGATTATAGTTAACATGTCTGGTTGCAATAGAAACAAGTTGTACCATGGTGGAGGACTAGTTTAAAACGTTAGGTTTGTTACACTGCATGTATGATCAAAACATGTGATATCACATTATACTTTGAAACAATTAGGAAACCATCTCAAGCATACGCATCCAATGATGACACAGTTGAATTTTATTCACGTCAAAGAAATTCAAGGAGTTACGAACACAAACACATTCTTCATTATCAAACATGATGACATATTCTTACTTGTAAACATTTAACTCTTCAACTAACTGACATCAAACATTAGGCCAAGCATCTTCAAGAAGACCGATACAAAGAGCTATTGCATAAAATCCACACTTACATCTTGCACATGTATGATGTATGTATGAGACATGTGGAATTTGATTGATGTGTGCATGTACAGTAGTACTTTGTCTCCATTGTTTGTGTCTTGGTGATTCATGGTATACCAAAATATCATATTCAACATTCTTTAGCACATATGAACATCCATTTGGTTTAGAAATCAATAGTGAATAGCCACAAGTGATTCCCAACATCTTCAACATCAAAAACTATCCTAAATCCTATAAACAATATCTATAATAAACTCCAAGGGAGAGTGAAATGTAAACAGCAGGCAGCACACTTAAATTCATCACATAAGAAATGGAAGCCGTAGTGTATCATAACCCTAAAGCTTCCAAACCCTCTTCTTACTCATTTACCAAGAAAAAAAAAACGGAATAGATAGTCGAATCTATGACATCTCTCGGAATCTGGCAAGTGCTTTCTTCTGAATGAGAGTCCGGTAGCTATCACCTGCTTGCACCTCCAGGGTAGGGTCCACCGCCTTCTTGGGTTGACTCCCGAGTCCCGCCCTCTTTTCTGTGGCTTGTGCCTGCACGGGCTCCACCATCCCACTCCCATCTTTTCCCAACCCCTGCAATTCACATTTTCATCATATCCCTTTCCTTTCAGTATTTTACTACATTAACAATAGCCACTTAAGACTTTGACCTAAATCATACAATTTCGATAAATGTGATTTACAATTGCTGTATAATGATTTGTATCTCTGGCTGGTAATCAAAAGGAAAGAATTGGAAAAGTTACCAAGCCTTGTTGCCACCCCATGTTTCGAAGCATCCGGTTGCCAACATTACTCTCATCAATCGCCTTCTCAGCTGTAATTACCTCATAGCTACTTCCACTTCCACCACCCCCACCTGCCGCCTCTCCACCTCCACCTCCACCTCCACGTGTCCCACCAACACCAGGCGGAAAAGGCATCGAATTCCTTTTCATACCCGAATCTCCATCTTTTACAACAAGCCCACCCATTATATTAAATAAATAAACAGTCAATACATAATAAACAATAATAATACTTAGTATCCTTATCCATCATCAAACAGATTCTCTGTCCTTTTACATATGACATATCCATCTCCTCCACTTTTTTTTCCATATTTAAAGCATTAATTAATTAATAAGATGAATATAACAAGAAGACTACTACTGAAACAATTATTTATATTCACAAACGCTTACTTGGATCCCCAACGCCAACATCATCCCCAAAAGATGACGAACCATATAAACTCCTCCTTTCAGCAGCTCGATCCCTATAACCACTATGCTGCTGCTGTTGCTCTTTACCAGACATTGCTGACTGTACATGTCCATGTCCATGTACAGGCGCCTCTGAAAACCGCCTTCTACCACTCACTGCAGCTGCTGGTGGTGTGTAAGACCCCAAAGCAGATGCATCTGTCCTAAATGGCACTGCACATGAATTACTCACTTCCATGCTTGCAGTTGTTGATGCAACATTATTTGACCCTGACCCTGACCCCACATATGTAGTATCTGATTTCACCACCCCTCTACCAGACCCCCTAATCACACCTCTCAAAGTCCCCCCTCCCACAGGCCTTGGTGCATCTATGTTTGCTGACTGGACCGATGTGTTAACAGAAGAAACTGCAGCCTCGTTTTTTAACTTTCCAACACTACCAGTTACACTTACAGTTACAGTGTTGGATTTGTCTTCTGTTGACTGATTGGCATCTCGTGGTGCTTGACTCTCATGGCTTCTTTGCTTCCACATGGAAAGCACGTTGCTCATTTTCTTCTTGCTAGCTAAAATACTACTTTTTGAAGCGAGTTTTATTTCTTTCATCTTCTCTTTCTCCTTTTTCTCTGCTGCTATAGCCGCCGCCTGAACAGCATCCGCCAACGAACTGGCGGTAGTTGTGGTGGCAGCCGGTGCAGATATCACTACTTTTCTAGTGTTTGAAGGTTCCTTTTCTTTTTTGTTATCGTTTTGGTCATTATTACAAGGAACGTATTGTTGACTCTGGTGATCATACGAATACCAAATTCCATTGTTTCCATCATAGTATAGACCTGTAATATGAGTAATGAAATACATTCATTATACATCAATATTGTAATAGTTATTATCAATGACAAAAAGAAAAAAAGAAAAAAGAACCTGTATTTCCATCATAATAGAATCCAGAAGCAGCATCATAGTAATAACCAGATGCTTCATCCCAAACAAAACCAGATTGTGGAGCCGAAGCATCTTTTGGATTTCCACCCTGCTCTTGTTGCCCATTTGATTGTTTCTCATCTGGATTATACTCTTTTGGCGCCCATCCAACAGCATCATACTACAAACGACACAAACATTTTAATATTTCATAAACAAAAAATATCAATTTTATATATTTTATAAAATAAAATAAAATTATTCCATTACCTGCTGAGCAAATGCAGCAGCCTCAATTGCTGCAGCAGCAAGGCTGCTCGAGTGAGAAGAGGATGCCCCTGTTCCTGGTCCAAGTATGCTTTTTGCATATGCAACTCTCAAAATTTGGCCATTTTTCTCAAGTGTTGTCCCATTTGTTGCCTCAAGGGCTTTTGTGGCATCTTCAACCTGAGATTCATAATACATCCACATAAGAATAATCAAATACCAGAATGTTCCACAAGTGACAAGTCTATAAACTTACCGAATGAAAATGTACAAATGCAAATCCTCTTGAGACGTGAGTAAATTTGTCTCTCACAAGTCGAAGATCCTGTGAACACAATTATATGATTTATATCATTCAAAAAATAAAAACTTATACCATTACTTATAGCACAAAAATGATGTGTACCTTAATTGGAGCGTGTTTGGAAAATTCATAACGAAGCATTTCCTCATCAGCATTTTCATCCAAACCTCTCACAACCAAAACATGTGTGGGACCTGAAAGTACAACATGTTTAAAAAAAAAAAAAAAAAAAAATGCTTCAATCAGGCATGATAGTTTTAAGCTGTTGATAAACTAACCTGTCTCTCCTTTCTTACCAAATGAATTAGTATTTGATGATGACATGTCTGCTGGAGGAGCATCGTCTGTTCTAGGTTCATTACACTAATTTCAACAAAGGTCAACACTCAGTTGAAAAGGTCAAACAAAGACAAAGACAAACATGTTTTGAATTATTAAAAAAAAGAACACCTGAAAGCAAGATGTCCTCCGTGCAAAATTAACACAACCACATATTGTGCACATCCAATCAGAAAGAACCATTGTATTTCTGTGGTTTATGTGCCCTGACCTTGATGAACCATCTGACCCGAAACCAGATCCACCAGCTCCTCCAGTTGGCTTACTACTGCAACACAAACAACAGATAAGTAACAATGAAACTAAATATTCTAAAATAAAACGAAGCATCAGACATGCATTTACCTGTACTCAAAGAACAGCTTCCTACCATCCACAACAAGACCCTCCTCTCCAATCTTATCCATCATCAAACGTGCAGATCCCTGCAGCCAATAATAAGTTCATAAGTATGCTACTCACAAGCCACAACATTTGTACACACACAAAAAAAAAAAAGATAAACTAAATTTATACCATGGTAGGGAAATCTATAAATGCAAATCCACGAGAAACACCAGAGTTTCGTTCTTTAATGACACGAACATGACGAAGAGGTCCCCATTCAGCCTAAATGGTGACAAAAGTATGATATAAGAAACTAAACAAATATGATTGAGACAATTGCAAAGAGATGAGTGAGAGAAGAAAGAGTACAAGCATCTGATATAAATCTTCTTCAGTTGTCTTTTGGGAAAGACCCTTCACAACAACAGTAGCAGATGGAACCTACACAATCATAATCAACACTTGAACAGTTATACATATACAACTAAGAAAGAAAGACAGAATCTTTTGAATGTAATTTTTTTTAAAATAATGCATATTATGATTTACAGTTTTACACATACCACTGAATAATGTTCATGGTGACGATATTCATCACGATCTCTTCTTCTATCTGACCTGTCATGTCTGTCTCTGTCTCTATCTCTGTCTCTATCCCTGTCATCATCATAGCTGTCCTCACGATGACTTCTGCCATGGCTGCGACTTCTTGGAGATCTTGACCTAACATGGTCATCATGTCCACGTGACCTAGAACGTTCATGCCTTCTGTAAGGACTTTGATCCCTTTCTCTACTCAAACCTTTTCTATCACGGGACCCACGCCTTCTCCAACTCCTACCACCTCTTTCATAATCAGAATCATAGCTATGCCTTCCACTTCCATATTCATAATCTCTCTCACGGCTATCCTCTCTGCTTTGTGACACACGACCTCTATTATAATCATAATCATCATATCCATAATCATCACGTTCACGTTCACGTTCACGTCCACTATATCTTGGAGGCCTTTCGTATCCATGATCATCATAGTGATATGAATCAACATCACGGTATTTGACAGTGTCGATTTCAGGGTATGGATTATTATCATGTCGCCTTGAATCTCTATCAAGTGGATATTCATCTTCATAGCTTCGCCTTCTTGTTTGAGTTTGAGGCCAAGATCCAACTGGCTCCTGTGGAGGAGGAAAGGTCTCCCTCTCCAATGCATCGCGTGGGAAGGAGTTCCTTGAATAGATTTCGTCTCTTGGAAAACGGTCATCTAAATACCTCCTATCATCGTATGAATCACCCGCCCTGTTAATTGAACATAAGGCAGATGGAAAACAGAGGAACAGTGGTATAACAAAAACATGGATATGAATTACTTGTAGATTTAAAAAGTTCAAGAAGTATGCTCGATTTTGAGTGATGGTATGAAGAAAAACTCACCGAAAAGTTGGTTCATGGACTGCAGTGTATCGATCGAGGGCCTGTGGATTCAAGAGAATAAGGTATGTCAGCAAGTTATAAGCATGGAACTAGAATTCCATATCCTCATTTTGTCCCATGGCTTAAGGATGAGATGAGAGTCACAAAAGCAAGCCCTAATATCTTGATTGTATTTGTATATCATCCCATATATGTCATTTTTTTTTAAAAAGGAAACCACAATTACGCTGTTATTTTCCCATCCAGGCTGAAGACCATAGCGACCAGGATCCATTTCCAATGTTACCCCTCCTCTTGATGATTGAATGCTTACAAGTTTCAGGAGCAACACCACTCTTTATTAAACCTTTTTTTTCCTGTAATGGATGCACAAACAGACAGTCATGCTACAGTGAATTGAGTAATAATCCTCATGACTTGGCCTCCCATTTTACTGGACTCAATTCTTCAAAAATCTAATTCTTCCCACATATATCCATCTTCAATTTCTTATAATACAGAAAATTAAGGATCTTGAAGAAGAAGGAGAAACCAGCAGCAAACAAGTTTACAAATTTATCTCAGGTTTAAAGATAAACATAGTACCAATGACAACCACATTGAGAAACAAAAAAAAAATGTAGTTTATCTCAGGTTTAAAGATAAACATAGTACATGTTGACCAACATGTTAACTAAATGCAAATCTTACAAGTAACTTAAAGATTATGTAGTTCAAATTGCACAACTTCAGGCTTATCATACTTAAAGCACAAGAACCAGAAATTGAAACTAAACACGCTAATATTTTTCAAGATTACAAGCTAATCAATATTTTAAACCCCAAAAAGTTACCATGAGATCCACAATGATTCCTTACACTTCAGTAATTATATAGCAACCGCAAAAAGTTACGTTGAAAAGATAATTAATATATCAGACTCTTAGTCTCTGGTCACAACCCAATCCCAATCCAATCCCAATCCCAAACTCAACAATCACATATCCCTTCAAAAACGATTACTCGGTTCCATGACTCAAACGCTTTTTATATTTGATTTAGCGTTTACTTTTTAATGATTCGCAACAGGAGAAAATCAAAGGAAAAAAAAAAGAAAAAATTAAAATTTATTAGTGGGTAGCTATGAACAGAGCGATTAAGTCCATGTCAACGGGTATCTTGCATACACCTGGTAAATTCCTGTTCCACTACAAAACAACATCAAATTTTACCAGGAAAAACACCCTACAATATTTGCAAACACCTGCAAACCCTTGATACTCCGTTATTCTATTAGGAATCGATAAAACTATAGGCATAAGCTCACGATTCTTACGCTGCAGACGCTTAATTCGATCGCCCGATTTTGTTTATATCTTCGATCTAGAAACACCAATTCAGGTTAATTGCTTCGAATGCATCGTGTAGCATATAGACGATTACGACTGTGTAGAATCGAACAAATTCACGAAAATTGTAGATTCAAACGCAAAATACGAGATCTAAAGGTGCTATTTTGCGACAATGAATGACCTAACAAGGAGGTTGTCAAGAGATTTGTAGTTATATAAAGAGGATGAATGTTCGTACGAAGAAGTAATCAGATAATAGGGCATACGGGCAGGAAACACTTTTTCTTTGATTAGGTTTTTGGGAGTACATATATTTTTTGGTAGTTGTATATGTGGTCCTTGTATTATTTCTTTTACGTAACAAAGTTTTCAAAATATTTAAAAAATATCATTATTGATTTTTCATTACAAAAAATACAATTTTACCTATTATTGCAAGTAACTTCCCGATTATTAGTGTTTCTAAGTAAAAAAAAAAAAAAGAAAAAAAAAATGTCCAACTGCTTTTCCCTTCCCCTTCCAATTACCGTCACCCCTGTTTCTTCTTCTCCGGTAGCTTCTTCACCTCCGGCCCCTATAACGCCCACGTCTACTCCACAACTAATCTTTGAGCTCCTGATATGCAATATCCAACCAAAGAAACGAGATGTTTGTGATGAACTCCACAAATGATCCAAACTTTTGCCTAAAAATCATGTTCCGCATGACTGCTGCCCGTTTTTAGTTGCTTCACGACTACCTATTTCTCATTCTAAAAACACCTCTGTGGATATACCCAAAACCACTTTTTCCAAGAAAATTGGCTTTTGAAAACTCATCTATCACCATCGCTAATTCTTTATATGTGAATGTGCTTTTTGAGAAACCCGGTGACATACCCGGGGAAGGTAGAAGTGGGTTTGAACCGTCGGAATAGTTGGAACCGGAACCAACACTGCTAAATAGCGGTGACGATGTAGGTTGCGGGGAAGGAGATTTTTTTTGAGCAGATATAATTTTTTTTATTGTACTTGTAAAACACTTCTGCTTATCAACTACCATCAAACACCACCAAATGCTACCAAACTCCACCTTATCACCACCACCGACGATAACCACCTTATACCACCAACTATTCATCATCTTTCCAATCACCACCTTCCATCGCTGAAGCTTTAAACCAGCTTTGATACCACCTTCACCACCTGCTGCCACCACAACCTCGATGGTTAAAACCACCTTCACCATCTAATCCACCGGCAGTAACAAAACTCGACACCATCTCACCACCCATTTACTGCCATCGCTACAGCGTCTACCTGTCCATCCATGTTCAGCCGATAACCACAACTTCCTTCAACTTTATTACACCACCAAAAATCACCGTCAACCTCACATGTTAAACCACCAAACACCACCTTACACCTTCCCTCTAAATACCGATAACGCTTTCCACTACCACCTTCGACCCTCTTAATCTCCATCTGCCTACACAAACATTAAAGCTAACCACGTGCAAAAGCTGAGAAATATCACTGCTACCTTATACCATTGATCATCAACCATCGAGCCACTCCCCTGTTCAAGAAGAAAAGAAAAAAGGAGTCTGTGATTTCTTTCTGGGGAAGGAGAACTGATATGCGGTGAAACGTAATAACCAATAGGTATTCCTTCATTTTCTCTTCTTTTTACTGCAAAGAAACAAGATAGTAGGACTTGTTTTTTTTTTTTTTTTTTACCGGGAGGCTACCTACAATAAGAGGTGAGCATAAGCTGTCACTGGTTTTTTATATACAAAAAAATATATTTTAATAGTATTTTTTGTATTAAAAAAACAATAATGGTATTTTTTGAACATTTTATAAACTTTATTACCTTTTAAAGTCATTTTCCCTTATATTTTTGCAAAATAAATATATGAGATGTATCGTTGTGTTATTCACTACAATCTCATATATTGTAAAAATGTAATATGTTATTGCAAAAACATTTTTAGGACTAAAAAAAAGAGAAATTAAATATTATTTTTTATAGTATCTTTCTACACACTTAAAATTATGATATTTGTTATATTTAATAAAAGTAATAAATTTTTTTATATGTGTCATCATCTAAAAGTGTTAAGAGGATAGATAGAAAAAAAATAAAATAATATTTAAATTTTCTTAATAAAATACAATTTTGGGATTTTAATAAAATACCTACAATTTGGTGTGGAATTGGAAAATAAAAAGTTCAAAGTGTTATAAATAAATTCCCTTGTAATATATAATAATGATGATAACTTAAGATAACTAATTTTAAGTCTGTATATATTTAGTCATTAAAATTATTTTTGTGTTCAATATACCATTAAATTTACAGAAATTGTTTAAAAAGTATAAATATGGTCGGTAATAGTTGATTTTGTCGGTTTCTGACGTCTTTTCCTGCCAAACATGAACTGTCTGCTCATTTTTTAAATTTTAGCCACCTTTGAATTTTCTGAGTAGCTACACCTTGTTCTTCATTTTTTGACACAACCTGAAAAACGATTCATTATCAGACATACCACTTGCAATTCAATTTCAATAAGTCGGGCGGTGAAAGTACATACACGAACAGAGATGTCATGAAACAAGCATTCAAAGGCTTTCAACAAACTCTAGATTTTAGAGCCGATTTGTCGCCATATGATCCATTTATTTCCGACTGACGAGACTTGCCATGTTTGTCTTAAGGCATGATTGGACTCATTTGGGGAGCATGCAGTTTATTGTAAAGAGCTCCCGGGTCTCAACTACCAACACGATTGGTTAGGGATATTCTTTTCGACATATTAAGGCGCGTTGGGGTTTCCGCCAAGAAAGAGGCACCTGTGAATTTTTTGACCGATTCATTGGAAGGAAGATCAACACTTAGACCGGCTGATGTTTTAGTAATTGGATTGGTTGGAAGAAAACATGCATGTGTGGATTCAACAGGGTTTCCCCTATTGTGGGTCTGAGGAGTGGGGTTTTCACTATAGGGCAAGCTGCTTTAAAAGTTGTATCAAGCGAAGTGGCAAAACATGAGAAAGCATGCATGAAAAATCAACACACGTTTATACCCTTTGCATTTGATACTTTTGATTTCCTTACACCAGAAACTGTGGAGCTACTTAATAGAGTCTAACGGGTCATGCATAGTAATATTATGACTCCAACATCTATAGATGTTGTTTTTAAAAGAATTAATTTTGTCATCCAAAAAAAGGTTTCAACACAGCTTGTTGCTCGTTTACACGTTACGTCTATGTAGAACTTTCTTCGTATGTTTTATAAAAAAATAATAAATAAATAATAAATAAAAAAACTTCAATTTAAACTCAAAGTCTTATTTCATAGTTGATTTGTAGGTTCAAACTCGAGCCGTTATGCATCATAATTAAAGTTGATTTCAAATTCCACGTTCCAAATACCATGTTTTTCGTTGGTTCTTCGTTAGTTTAGGTTTTCATACTCAAACTCGAACTTAAAATATGATGCAAATTGATTTTATGGTTCTTTAAACTCAAAGTCGAAATCTAATGCAAATATGGTTCATGGAAATGATCAAAATCGTTCTTGTTCTAGGTTAAAGAACGATTTCGTATTTATGGAAAACCCTCAAATGATTATGGAAAAACGATTCTGATTTCAGGAACATGTTAATCCCATTCGAACAATCTCGATTTCAAGGGTTTTATTGTGGTTTTCAAGGACATGATTTCATATTCAATGTTTTTTTTTTCGTGAATTATGAAACAAGATCGTCGGGAAATTCAAAGTTTACCGGAGAAGATGACAAAAAAATTCAAAGATGGTCGGAAACTCATGTTAGCCTGAAAAGAAGCCGGAAACCGAAAAACCCTCTACTAGCAGTCGTATTTATACTTTTTGAACTATTTCAACAAGTTAATTATATACCGATCACACACACAAAAAGGTTAGTTTCTAAATATATACAAAACATAAAGTTGATTACTCTTACAAATCATCATCCATGTATAATAAGATAAAAAAAAATAGTAATTACGATTTTATTAAATATGACAAATTAACAAAGTGTCAACCCAATCTAGAGATTACATTTTAAAGTTAATATTTTATCATTTCATTTTTAGAAAGCGATTGGTCACATTTTTGATCTTAATATTCGTAAGTGATTCTTTATTACACTATAAATCAAAACATCATTCAAAAAAACGGCATTCGTTTTATTACGCAAAATAGTGTAACCAATGACATAGTAACGCCTGAAACTTCAGACTATGCAGTTAAGATATATTAAGCGATTTTTTTTTTGATAAAATATTACTTAGGATAAATAATACTAACAAAGTTATAGTATATGTGACAATGAATTCGTACATATAAATAACTTTGAAATCTGACTTCGTATGAAGAAGTTATGCTTCTTCGAAGTTTCACAATTAAACCGACACGACTCTGCATATCGTAAAAAGTGAAATCTTGATAAATTACTTTTTAGCCTAAGTGATCTAAATAAAAACCGTATTAGTTGTTAAACCGAGAGCGTGCATATAGAGAACGTCCAAATCTGACTTCGTGAGAAGAAGTTATGATTTTTCAAAGGTTCAGCGCAGCTGTGTTAGCGCAAAAAGCGACTTTTTGATCAGTTTATTTTTACCGAAGCAATCTAAAAGAGAATTAAAGATCTCGTGATAAGGAGTCAATCGATATAAAGACATCCGAAAATGAAGTTCGTATGTAAAAGTTATGAGTTTCGCATAGACTTTAATAGTTTAAACTGATCTAAATATGATTTTTTTTGTTAGAGGAAAAGTTGAATGTTGAGGACCTAATGAAAGTTGTATAGCTCGTCGAGAGGAATCCAAATATATAAAAAACGTCAAAAACGGAGTTCATATGTAAAAGTTAAGGTCGTTTGAAGATCTTCAAGAAACTGTCTGGGTTGGTGATGTGACAGCACTGTAGTGCACCATGTGGCAAGGTCGGTTGCCTACTCCTCCAATAGTCAAGGCAACGTGGCACATTGTGGACGTAACATGTGGCCCCACATAAAGTCAACACGTGGAAAGCTTCTAGAAACATTGAGGTGGACCATAGTTTCGACAACATGTGGCGAAAGGAGGCTAGAGCAGCGTTAGAGGAAGGGCACGATGCTCCTATGGGTGGCGTGCAGTGTGCCTACTGGAACTTTATATATACCCTTCCGATTTCATTCGTTTTCTCACAATTTCACAACCATTTCCTTTAGAATTTCTTTTGAGTTCTTGAATCTAACTTTCCGGGTTTCTCAGGATATTTTAGCGAGGCTTTGAGGAGTTTAGAAACCTGGCGAAAAGGAGTATTCGAGTTGGGATTCCGTCTACACAATTTCCCGGTTTTTGCTAAAATTTATGTAAGTTAAGCTACACGTATTCTATTTCAAGTGTAACTTTTATTTATATTCATAGTCGTTATTATGAACCTATAAATAAGATTTATCAGCAACTTCAAGTCATTATATTGGTTGATCTACTTACGGGGATAATGTCTAAGCTGGATATAGTGAGGTATTTAAAATGAGATTTTCAAACAATATATTTTGTATATCAAACGGATCATACATCCGATATGATCATACCTGGTTGTTCCCTTATTTGATAGATCTTGATGTAGACATTGGGATTAGTGAGGAATCTAGACTATCATTAGTCGCCATAAATATAAGACTAAGACTTAGTAATGTGAACCTAGGTCACATCAAAGGAAAATATACAGTACCAAAGCAAAGTTCTATGATATGGGCATATTTAGTTATAAAATTTATGTATTATCTTAATACTTTATGTTGATTTTATCTCATTTAATGAACAAAATGTGCTTAATTAGTTTAGAATTTCATTTTTCAGCAACAATGACATGCTCGGATGGAAAATGAAGTGAATTTAGCAATTGGATCTTGGATTTTGAAGAAAGAAGGATGTTGTTGGACAGTTTGACCCCTCGTCAGGGTTTTGTCAATATCTCATGAACCGTAACTCCGATTGACGACATTCAAAATGTTCTGAAAACTAGAAAAAAATTTGGATGACTTTCGTGTTTTGAGAAAATGTTGATTCCAAACGAACTCGACGAGTTGATCAAAAGTTTCGCAATTCTTGGCGCTGACTTGTCGTACACGTGGTTTAAATGTTAAACTCGATGAGTTTTTCTCAGAAACTCGACGAGTTGGCTATGTTTTCAGAATTTATATATAGAAACGTTTTCATTCAAAACCCTAAATAATTCTAGCAGCTCTGGACGATTTTTGGAGGCCAGAAGGGTTCTTAGAGTTGTGGTTTTCGAGAATTCAACCTAAAAGTCAATTTTGAAGAGATCAAAGGCAAACAAACATTACTTTTATCTTAATATTTTTGTGTGAACCATGTTTGAATCATTAGATTTTGATTTTAGGATGCTATTTGATGTAGTTATGAGCTAAAAGCCTCATACTTTTGTTTAGACTAGATGACTTA